CTAACTTTGTAATAGGAAGTACAGCATTCGATTCGATATCATTATCAGTATTGAATGAATTAATAGGAAATTGTTGTAAAAAAATGAGGAAAAAAATGGTGAATTCTACGCCTGTATGAAATATTGTTAAAATAAATTGAAAATCAGAGACGAATAGCGGGTGAAGGTGTTTCTAATTTAATCCCATCGAGGAGAAGGGGGGACGAGAAAAAAGGAACGAGTATGCACGTTTCCTGTTCGGTGACGATAGACCACCTCACAGTTAGGCCAATTGGATCGCCCACGTGCTGTGAAAGGAACATCAACGTTTTCCAATGAGTACACCGGCATCGTTAAACCGTGTGGTCCGTGTAGCTTTTCTCTCGAGAAGCTATTCAAGGTAAGTAGGTATACCATTTTTAATTTGGCAATGACGCAAACTCGCGTACGAGACTGTCGTCGTCGACGTAGGCGTTTTCTATTAAACGTGTTAAACCGAGGCCATGTTTGGCACCGTCACGACGTCCCGTGTTCGTTCCATTTGTAACGAGTAGTAAGTAGGAACCAAGTAAATTTTCACTCACATTTCTACATCCGTTTCTTAATGTAATCATTGTTTAATGAATTTCTAAATGAATCATGAATTTTTAATAAAGAGGATATCGAGAATCACAGTGTCGAAGTTGTTACCATTTATGGTACACATTAAACTTGATCTCCAAGCCATGTGTACCATAAATGGTAAATGCATATTTATTCAATGCACTGAAACATCAAATAGCCTAAACGACAAATCGGGCAAAAACGTGTAGTAAATGAAGGTGTTAATATTACATTAATTATGTTAATTTAAACGTGTAGTAAATGAAGGTATTAAATTACACAGAACGTGTTAATAAATGAATTCTAATCATTAATTGAAATCTTCATCACGGGAAGATCGAAATACGAGACACCAAAATGTCTGATCTACATTTAAGTCTTCCATATTTTCCATATCCTGAGACTTTCTACAATACAAAATAGTATCTAAAAGAATCGAACTAGTTCACGAGATAGCGTTCGCTCTTTTCTATGTTTTGTCGCTTCCTGCCCATCGTCCCTCATTCTAATCAGCCAGCAATTAAAATGATTCATAGCAACCGCGTTCGTAACAAGGTCCTCATTCATAAAGATTCGGACTTCTAAAGTATTTTCGAGCTGCTCGTTAAAACCTGTCATTATTTACACATGCGCATGCCACCGAAGTTATTACGGCGAGTCGCTAGTCGTTTCCACACGACCGAAAGAAAAACGATCGTTCGTACTGGAGAGTAGCGGAGTAAATAGGTAACGATCTCATTGAAAGAGACCGAGCAAAAACGGAAAAGGAACGTCCAATAAAGACACCGTGTATTATACATATCGGTGCCACTTGCACAAGGGTTCTTGCATACGCATTTCTCTGAAACTTTCAGTGGACAAAAAATACAGAGAAACTATTCGTTAAAAAGGCAACGACGCTTCTCGATTTAATAGAATAATTAAAAGTTTCAGATGTCTGATTCCTATTCCAACAAAATCCTTCTTACATTGCTTTCGTTCATAATTTTAAGTAGCAATAATATAATAAATATTATATAGCCTTGTGAAAAGAAGCACCTGAAAGTTGTGAAATCAACGAAAGACGTCAAGTTTCCCATTTACTTATTATTATCATAATCATAAACAATATTCAACTAAATTAATTAATTATTAAGCGACGAAATAATTATTATTATTGGCCTAATACGAAATCGACGATGGCTTTAAGTGGACGTATTGCACCCAACAAGAAGAATAAACTCAGGGATAACGAAAATTTAATTGGCATCGGTTAAATAAACAAGCCATTCGTAAGAAGTGCCATTCTCTCATCTCTCTCTTTATTCTCGTCGCGCGTACTTACACAAGTACGCGAGTAAAACCCAGCGATCGACGATTGGCAGGTTTGACGAGGTGGAAATTCTCCCACCCGAGGTTCGATGCCCACCTACGATTGCACGTGGTGTCTCTGTCCACAGCAAACCCGCCATTCTAAAGCTACTCCGCGATCGGAATCGAGATTTAATCTCCTCCCTCTCCTCTCTCGCCGATTACATACCGGCTAATTCGAGAAAATATGGCTCTCGCGAAACGTTTAATGGCTACCCCGCTATTACACGTTCTCCATTATTTTCAATCCAACGAAATTATTAATAGAATATAAATAATTTAATAATAAAATACGTGAAAGTTGCTGGTAACTCGATAGTATCGTAAAAAAATAAATAAACGAAATAGAATCGCGCGATTGGTCAGATTTTCCTGGTTTTGCAATTCCGCAAGAGAGAAACGCGATTATCGCAGCAGCTGGCCACGGTTTATTACGTACGCGTCGAAGATACATAACGGGACGATTCGAGGAGATTCCATCGGACGCGATCAGCGTGCATTGTTCCGCGGAAAAAACAGAGACGCGATGGTATTTCGCGCGTTTTACGGCGAACGAAGCTCGTGCTAGATTTTATATTTAGGAAGCCAACGTGTGTAACTCTAGAACTACTGAATTAGGTTGGAACGAGAAAGCCCGGCACCCACGCGCGGCATTCTCATATCTCGCCCAGCGTTACCCGCGTGTTTATTGATTTGAGAGGTACTTCTCTTTCCCAAAGGGGTCGGATACTTTATTCCAAATCGATTTCGAATAATTAGATTACACATTTTTTTTTTTAATCTCACACATTTCTACGGATTTTTGTAAAAAGTATTTAATCGTACGCTTCGTTCGGAAAACGCCGTCTCGCGTTTACGTTCGTTAATTAAATAGACACCGAGGAATCTCAAGATGTACCTGTCAACGTTTTTAATCGAGTAATAAAAAGTTCAGACGCAACTTGTTACTCGGTATTTTAATTAAAACGTACGTAGACTTTTACGAGCGAG